ACGAAGTCACCGGACAGTGTGTCTGGCGATGCCATGGTTCCAGCTATTGGAGCCTGCTGGTTCGCTTAAAGGCGTCGTTAGCAACACACTCCAACGGGACATTTGGACGAAAGCGGAACTTGGGCGTCTGATAAAAGTCGCGTCAAAAAGCAGACAGGAAGAGGCACCGAGGAAGGATGGGCAATTTGAATTTATTGTCCCGTAGCTTAAATGAAGCTCTGGGACAAGAACCTTAAAACTTAAACGAAGGTCTGCGAATACGAGGCAACGGAAGGAGTAATCAGCCAGTTGTACCCCGCTTAGATGGGCTTTCTACGAACAAAATGTGTAGACAATTTTAGTTAGACTATGTCGTATAGTAAACTTTTCACACAATTATATGAGTCGGCCACACGATGACAAGGAATTTCACCAAGCATCACTAAGGAAGGATCCAATCATGAAAATCAACGGGGCACTGAAGAATATGCTAAAGGAAATGCATAATAATGGGAATATTGACAGATGGATGAGGAAACCTTTAATAAAAACTGACGCAAGACCACCGACAGCATGTGGACTACCGAAAATACACAAGGATATAAATCCGCTAAGTTGAACATTCAACAACAAGCATGGTGCAATACACAAACTAGCAAAATTCATTTGCGTGAAGCTCAAGAAAGTAAATGAGAGGCTCTTGAATACCGTCAAGAATTCGTATGAATTTTATCAAAGGATCCAGAACATTGGGTTTGTGGGGTCGGAGTTGTTGGTGAGTTTCGATGTACAATCTATGTACACAAATATCTCACGTGAGAAGGTGATAAGCGCCTTAATGGAGATATTGGAGCGAGAAGAGGACATCCTGGAGGCACAACGGATACGGAAAGAATAGTTAACACGACTGATCAACCTGATAGTAAGGACCACATATTTTACTTTTAACGGCAGTATCTGCGAGCAAATAATTAGACTACCGATGGGATCTCCACTCTCACCTCTTTTGGCAAATGTGTACATGGACAAGTTGGAAAGGGA